TTTGCGGCCGCATTGGGGGAAAGCCAGCTTGAAGAGCACGCTGGCTTCTTTTTTGTGGGCGGACGCATTGACTTAACACCTCTAAGAAAGAAGGCCGTAGCGCTCCGAGTGGTTACATCACAATGTCGGAGAAGGAAGGCCATGGTGCAACTACATAAAAAAAAAATATCACATCGTCGTGAAAAACATTTTTCTTGTCAAGCGGCACGGTGGGGTTTGTGCGCGTTTATCCGACATTAATATGTCTTAAAAGTGCTGTCTTGTACAATTTATTATATATATATAATATAAATGTAATATACAATGTGCTACCAAGGTTGAAAGTACCAATTTTATATTCATGATTACCCCTATAACCGCGGGACTATGTGCAGTCCCGCAGCTCCCCACAACTTTCGAATGAACCAGTTCGGTGAGACATTTTCATCTTCCCTCCAACAACTCCGATTCTGGTAAATGTATGTTGTGTGCGAGCTGCAGACTGTCTGAAAAGGAACGCTGGGACTTTCAGAAGGGAAGAGAATGGAAAAAAATCAAGTCATCGCCACGGGGAGCGCACACGAGCAAGAGATGGGCCGACAACATTAAGCCTCCCACACTGCTCCGCTGCTCTCGTGTGAGGTTCTTTTGATCCTTGTTCCCGACGTTTTTCTGTCGTCACCGCAGTCTCGGGTAGTTTTTGTGTTCGCTTGATACTACGGCATTTACGTGGATTCGCGGAACAAGTCCTGCTACTGTTTGAGTGACGTGTGTGGAAACTAGCCAACAATGACACTGGTTGATTATCGATAGACCTCTCGAGATCTCGACTAAGAGGGACTTCTTGGAGCTTGTCTTCAAATGTTTTCGTGCCAGATATTGTGGGACATATGGATACGATCGACAGGTGAGAAACAACTTATTTACGGGCTTTCTTGGTCATGTGGGACACAAGTAAGTGCTGCAGTCTTTCTTTTAAAATTTTGTGATAGAGTGGAATTTTGTTCTTTGTCGCTATCCGTGTACAGTGGCGTCGACATTTGTAAATATGCGTTGTAACATTCTAGTTTTCACTGGAAGGTGAATGACAAGTTTGTGCGATCATACAAAATGCATTTTTTGTGGTTTCGTGTTTGCTGATACTAATGTCATTTTATTGCCTTTACCGCATTTATACCAGGACCTTAACTGTATTACGGCAATAGTATTATTGTATACAAAAGAAGTTATATTTTGTTTACATGATTGTAAGTGACCCTTCTCTAGCTGTGTCCACGTTGACTACGTCCACCTGATCTTTAACTGATCTGTTTTGCTGTGTCCACTCACTGCGTGTCTCACAATTTTGTTGAAGCGTTTCTGTATAAATTATGCATTCCTACAACAATTGCGTGACTCAATGTTTTCAACTTAAAACAATCACTTTGTATAGGCGTCTTATACGCATACTTCGTGCCATTTTGTACCGATTATTTAGCGATGTAATGCTTTGCCCGTGAAATACAATGTTTTCTAGACCCATTGTTATGGGCAGCTTTCATTTTAGCTAACAAATCACGCTTATGTGACTAAAACCGCGTTACAACAATCGACCCACGCGCGTTGCCTTCGCTTCGACGTGCGCCCCCGATGGCCTTCATTTGAGACGTCACGAGAGGAGCGCTACGGCCTTCTCTTCTGGGAGGTGTTGGTCGACCGCCCGGAACAAAAAAAAAAATCTCTTTTGCGCAGGGAGCAGGGGGAGGGCGCTCCATGGTTCCTCTTCCCACTCCGTCCACAAAAGAGAATACTGCCTTTTCTTCCGAGAAGGTTGAGGCGGCCGCCCGGAAAAAAAAAAGCCAGCTTGCTCTGCTAGCTGGCTTTCCCCCAACGCAGCTGCCTGCCTTAGGGGAAAGCCAACTTGCAAAGCGAAACGGAAGCTCTGCAGGTGCTACTGCTCGGACGTGCTCCGTGCTCTCGGCATAGTTCGGCCCTAATGTGCGAATATAGAAGGCAGCGGCCTCAATTTCGGAGTCCATCGATAGCGTAGAAAAATATTGTTATTGCGGATGCAATGAAGAAAAAGCAGCAGAAGATGCAAGACTATTTCATTGTGTAATATTTCAGCAGAAAGTGGATTTTTGAGAGTCAAATTCATTAATACTTCTAATTGAATAACCCGCTATATCGAACTGGCAGACGTTTTCTTGCGAGTTTGATGTAAACGAGTTTGACGTATAGTGGATTTTGAGTTCAAAACGAATTTAAAGTGAATATTTTTTTCTGTTGAATAGTTTTGAATTTAATATTGTTATAGTTTTTACAAGCCTTCCACTACTGTACGATACTTAAATAGAAACCCTGCAGGTTGCTGCCGAGATTTCACTTGTACTCTCCTAAGTCCTTATTTTAATACGTACCTCATATTTATAAACTGCGGCATCTGAACAAGAAATTTGTTGCAGATATTCTAGTCAAGAGGATTTTTAAATCTGCTCGTTATAGGCAAATATTTTGTATTCAATATAAAGTATGAAAAAAAAAAAAGGAGCATGAATGATGAACGTATGTTCTCAAGGCCTCTTTTGCCTAACCCAGACATTGTTTCTCAAAATTAATGAACTTCTAATTGCAAGTTTTAGAATGTGTCCAAATTTGTGCGTTTCAAAGAAATGGCATCGTCGTAATGCGCCAATCCAGACAAGGTCTAGGCTTGGCACATGCGCACTGGTGACGACGCTATTTTTGCTTCCGCAAGGCTTTTGGGTACTCTAGCCTATAATTGCCTAAAACTATTACTTAAGGTATTCACATCAAACTTGATCACATCAGTCATGCTCGTGAATGCAAGTGACAACCTAGCTTTTCATAATCTACACCTTTTTGTGTCTAGAAATTTAGTTTTTTATCCAAAAGTGTTTTTTGTATTCCTTCATACACAAACTCATCTCTGTTACGTCACAGTGCGGTGGTGGCGCTTCGGGCACAATTCCGGTCTGGGGCTGTGGGCGGAAGTCCCCGTGCGAGACGTGTATTCCTGCGTTGTTTTGAAAGGAACCTGACAAAAACCCGCTTTCTCGTCAAAACATCACGACTGGGGCTGTACTAAAAGAGTCTAGAAAGGTTTGAAGGTTAGTTTTCATGTGCTCGGTTCGTCCGAGAACGTGGATATGTGCCGTGAAAAGGGAAAACCAGATGCCGTCGGACCACATCTGCTTGGGCGGGAAGCACTTCGGGTTGAATTCACGAATACTGGTGGTCATCAATTTATTCTTTTGTTCCCACATGAATGCCAAAAAACCGTCATGTTGTACCGACCATTGTATAATGACTATGTTCAGTGCGTCTTCAAGTTCAAACGGCCGCCTGATCATTCGAACTATCGTCTGCTGTCTCAGACAATTCTGCTTGTCTGCTCTTTTAGAAGACACCGGCCCGAACATCAAATGTTGATGCCGTACTTGCGATAAGAAGTAAGTGCAGCCCTCAAAAGACTTAAATTTGAAACTTGGTAAGCAGGCTTCATGTAAACAGTAGATACAAAAAGATGTTCATCATTGTTACCAGTGGCCATCACCAACTTGTTATGCCTAATTCACTTGGTCCGATTCTGCTTGCGATTTTCAGTATCGGCGTCGACCATCTCAGCTACGGTTCACGCTGTTGCAGCCCGAGTGACTTCGCGACTGAAAATTGCGAGCGAAATCTCATCATGCGAATCAGGCTTTAGCGTACATTCTGCGGCGTCCACGCGGAATGAATCGCCGCATGCCACATTATTCACGCGAAGTTTTGCGGTGTAACGAGCCTCGGTAATCTCCCTGAGGCCGCTCAAGTAGTCAGGCATCGCAAAAACGACGTAGAATCACCAATTCGAACGCCAAAAAGGGCAGGGGGACTCACACCGACAACGACAACATCGCATTCCAATGGTTTGTTTATGGGCGACGGCGAGCTTCTCGCCCACACTCCATCGCGCATGCGCGGCGCCAGTGGCGCTACAGTTTGTAAATATGAACTGGTGTAAACTATAATTTAGGGAATGACATATAAAATATCAAGCAAATAAAAAAATGTCAACCATTTACCTACTACTCAGTTTCATCTGAAATGACCCAATACCATGGTGTTAAGAGAGTTCAGCCTTCAGTTGTGTGGTGTAAACATCAGCCAGTGTGCAACGGTATTACAAATACCAGAGTCACCACTTGCGCGAAGGCATGATGTTGCTCCAATGACACTGCCTAGCTTTCTGCTTCTTCGTCCATTTATCATTTTCTTTTTAGACACAGCCTGCTATTGTTTTACCCTCGCCATGCCCGCCATCAATTGGGGCATAAAATTCATAATGTTTCCTGTTCATATGTTCGTTATACCTTACAATACAACACAGACCATGCTACAGGCCACACAAGTCAACTCAATGTAGTGACCTCGGAGAGAGGCGCTGTGATGCGTTGTCACTTGATGCGCTAAGTTGCCCGAGACAGCTGGCAACGGCCGCTACAATCCATTGCACTTACAAACGGAGTATAGTGACTTCTAGATAAATTATTTGAATCATTTTGTCAACTCCCTACATGCACTAAAATACTACTTCGAGAAATTAGCACAGTTGAGAGCAACCAACCAAGCACAGCACCCCGAGGACTGATGCACCACAAAGTTCAGTTTCCATAGGCACTACCAGACACATCACAGATAAAAAAAAATATAAATAAAAAAACATTTTTTTGTATGATGCTTTGTGGTGCCTGGGAGATAATGCGACCAACTATGGCCACTGTGGATACGGTGCTCGAGTAACCACTAGTTGTTGAGACACAGCACCTCCAACAGAAATTGACTGCAACAGACTCGGCAAAACCGTTATTTCTTTATTTTAAGACAATAGAATACAACAGGTCTTGGTGGTGGATTCTGAATTACATGTTTCTAAGTGTTCAATAACGAAAATGAAAAAAAAAATTGAGGATGACAATATCTTTGAATTCTCACAAAAAAATTGTTTGACTTTTTCTATATTTAAAAAAAACTGAGCATGCATAAAAATATTTACGTTTCGGGATGTTTTATTACCCTGTGGAGCTCGAAGATATGTTAATGCGCAATTGGGAAAATCATATTTCCACCTCCTCAGACGCAATTTATTTTAACAAAAACATTGAAGGTCTTTTTGTAAAAGTAGGTCTATTCCATTGCAAGGACATATTTTGCTAGCTCCTATAAAATCTTAATTGAAAACAAAAAATAGGCACGACATTATTGTCCTATCTTAACATGTTGCCCCATTTGTTTTTATCGCCTTCCTTGTTTCTGTTAGACTCTACACATTGGCCGGTTCCCCAATTCCCCATTCTTGGGTCAGGCTCTGTTGATGCACTGTTTAGTTAAATTAAACTATTATTGCTACATGAAAGTTTTATGAGTCTGTGCTTTGTCGGACACATGTCTATATTTCCTGTTTACAGTGTAACAGTTACACTTGCGGCTCACCCGGACCGTGTCGCTTGCTCCAGTGCCGCTACAAGTCATGCCTTCATAGTGCCTTGTTTGGAAGACTTCAATGTCATGGGTGCCTTGCGACCACGGCTTCTAGAAAAAAAACAAAAAAACACACAATTAATTGCCTGCACGCAGAACACCAAAGAAAAAAATCAAACCTCTGGGTATCTAATGCCTGTCAAGAATATCAATGTAACCTGTGCTTTAGTGCACATTCTATATACTCTGTGCATTAGTTGTAATATGGGGAAGAGAGCAGATGCTGTACAGAGATGTTGTCCACCTAAAGTAGGTTTAAAGTATGTCCCTTACATCTATCACTTGCTTCATGCAGTTAAGCATGTTATGTACGAACCAAGATTGAATATGATATTCAGTCAATTTCCGTGCAAACGACATAAACAATCACGTGCCTCTGTCAAGTGGCAAATTTGAATGCAAGCTCTGCTAGGTACATATATATGTCTCGTCTGGTTGAAATTAATCACAGGAGCTCACTCTTAAGAGACATTGCACAATTTCAGGTTGTCCGAGCCACGCAGCTTGCTCCACCTTACGTATCATTGCGCAGCATGTTAGTAACATGACAGCCTCCTTGTCAACGCTAAAGTCATTTTCCTCGTTTGAGGTTTTTTGGCAATGCTTATTCCACAGCCTACAGCCCTAAAACTTGAATCTCTATCATATTGAGGGCTATATCACTCAGCTTGCATCCACCCCCTTCTACAGGCTGCAACCACAGAGGCATAACATAAACAGATCCAGTCCCTATAACACCAAAAAATATTGAACGGTTCCAATTGCATTGCTGCATCAATAGACCCATTTTCTGAAAGTCCACACAAGGCACACTAGATCTTGTAAAGAGGTACAGTAGCACAGCCAAAAATAATTTACGTCCCCACTCACCCCTCCCAATATTAATTAGCACAGTACGATGTGTAATAATACGCTACTTTCCACTTACAGTATGGGTGCATGTTCTGGTGTAAGTCATCGCACCAGTAATAGGCAAAATAAAATTGCCCATAAAACTGCATATCGCGTGGAACCTTGATTATGCATTTCCAGTTTATTCAACGTCCTGCATTTTACTATAATTTAGCGCAGGTTTGTCAAAGTGCTGTAATTATTGTCGTTTTGGGTAATACGACTCCGGGTTCATTATTTGACACTTTCGCGCGTTCCCATAAATGTTGTATAATGAATGTTCCACTGCATACGGTCTAAACTTCCAAGGGGGAGGGGGGGGTACTGAAGTTTCATGAGTAAAGCACTGCGGATGCGCCAAATGCCCAAGAACTACCCACGGTTATGCCCAGTGAACTGGCAGGTGCGGATAAAAATAAATTAGATTTGGCGGATTGTGAATTGGATGCAGATGTCATGGGCTACAGGCGCGGATATCCGTGGGTCCGGATCTATATTTTTGTCGAGGGGGCTCTCAAGCGTGAGTTATCGCAGAGCGAAGGGAATAAGTGAGTAATTCTACAAAGTGCATTATGGAATGTTTGGCAGGAAAAAAATTACTCTCTCAGAAAAGGAGTGCCAATTTGGGAGAAAATATTTCTTTACACTAAGACCTGAGTCTTATCAGAGATTGGTTTAGAGTGTTCTGCGTCACCAAACCTGCTGTCCCTACAAAAAATAAAGAATGTAGGGGCATCAATTGCCTTGGGAAAGTGTGTTCTTGTCTGGCACGAAAAGAGTGGAAAACATTCTTTGGGCAAAGGAAACTCAAAACGTACAAGCCACAAAAAAGTAGAAGCCCCAGTCGTGTAATCGCGTCTTACCACGCATATACCAGTGCTTCTCTGCAAAGAGTGACCGCCTTTCCTCGCACACTTTTTTTTTATTTTTTAAAGGGACACTGACAGGGTATTTATGCTCGCCAAGGTTTTTAGTTGTACGTGACATATGAGAGCTCAACTACCCAGGACAGAATTTGCGGCTCAAAATTCGGTTTCTTTCCGCCCAAAAACCGCCGATCAAGAACTGGCCGGTTCGAGTCTCGCTCACTCTCCTTTCCGCGGTCACGGGCCGTTTTCTAAGGTATCGATGCGACCACCAAATTTAATCAAAGTCGTGGGTCACTGAAGGCACACACTCAATATTAAAAATAGAAAAAAAATATGAAACCCATTTTTTGTGGCTTCTAAAAAGCTGTAAATACGTTGATTGATAAAAAAAGTTCCACAGACAACCGGAAGCATTCTGTGCGTTCGTCGTTTCGCGTATCGTGGGACTCGCGGGGACGGCGATGGCAGCGGACGACGGGCATGGGACCTCTATTTCAGAACTGTCGTTTGCGGTACCGGCGAATTCTGTCTACCGTTAAAAGAGAAATTTGGGACTGATCAAAAGAATTGGTATTCATCCCGTACGACACGCCCGGCCACCAAGCAGATTTGCACGAAGACGTCGCCGAGCCGTCGCTCCCTTCCCGTGGCTGAAGACATCGCTCGCGCAAACGTCAAGCACGACGTGTCTACTTCGAGTTGAATATGCACGCGTACGATTTCTTTACTACGTGCGAATGTCCCCAAAGCGTGGTGCTTCCCGACTTCGACCCGGGAGTGCTTTTGCTAGAGAAAAATCGACAGCAAACTTTCCAACTTACAGTTTACCGGCTGAATTATTACTAAGAAAAGAGATCCACCAGAAGTGAGATGTGCCAGTAGCTCAGTGGGAAAGACGTCCGGTTCACACGCGTTAGGTCTGGGATCGATCCCTCGTGTAGCTCTATTTTTTTTTTTTTTTAACATTTTCCGATGTTTACATATCTTTTTCTTTTTTTTTTACAATCATCACTGAAGAAACAAACAAAAGTTGTGGACGATACTTCGCTTAATTAAATGGTATGGGATTTCCGTTTTGACACCTGCGAACTCAATGTAATCACTTTCCACAAAATACGAGGAGCATACAAATCAGGTAGCGTCCGCTTTCCGAGGTGCCCGTATATGTTCTACAGGAATTTCAGCCAGCCATTGGTCCCGATCCCGTTGATCTTTCGGAAACTCTGTCGCACAATGCCACTTTTTTTCGGATGCAGGACATGTGAGCCAGCTCTTCACGCAACATCTTGGGTGTATTCTTTTCGGAGCCGATCATGGAAATTCACCACGGGCACCTACTACTCATCCTCCAACTCCTCAATGTACAAAACAACTCATCTTGGAGTACAAAACAACGAGCGGAACAAACATAACTGCAAAAGAATCGCACGGCGAGCAGTTCCCGCACGCCGCATAGCACACCGCATGTCGTGTCGTCTGCTATGGAGAGGAGAAAACAAAAACAAAAACGCACGGTCGGGTGTAGCCACGTGACTTCCGCCACTCACTCTCTTCTCTCCACTTCTCCGACCTCCGTCGGGTTTCGGTTTCGATTTCGAGCAGTTGCGTCTTTTGGCTATATTAAACAAATACGCTACTCTGTTGCAAAATATTAATTGGGTAGTCCTCCGACACCATAATGAAGTGCCTGGCAAAAAATAAAAAAAAATTTTGGGGGCTGTCAGTGTCCCTTTAACTTAAAAGGGACCTTCAAAAAAGAAAATGTAGGAGGGACACGCAGGTAAAAAACAAATTTAACATGAACAAAAAAAATTTTTTTTAGAGGCTGGTACACATGTACAGCACAGAGCTGATGAACCTAATTTAGCACTAATTCACCACTGTATCACTGGTGTAGGACAAATGTAAGACTGCATAAACAAGATCAGCATTACAGTACAGACTACTTATAACGTAACCACTTATAGTGCAGGACCGGGTATAACGCGACTTTTTTATTTAAACCACCGGTTCGCCTCCCATAGAACTCCATGTAATTACATACCACTTAAAATGCAGGCGCGAAGGGAAATACTGGTTATAGTGCGGTTTCTGGAACAGCGCGCCGATTGCCCTGCGCAGCCAGCACGCTTCCCTGTGCGACACTAGATAATGGCGCTAGCCTGGCTAGCCGCAAGCGGCACTCGCGGGGCAAAGAGGTTGCTCGAAGTCGTGGCTCCAAGAAGCGAAGAGAGAGGCTTCAGTTGCCATACCGACGAAGGGACGCACGCACGTGTCGCTCACGTGCGTGCGTTGGAAACAACCGCAACGACAGACCAATTGCAGGTTGGGGAGAACTGTTAGAGTGCGTTGCATGTCAGTCGCGGGCCGGCATCTATCCGCAAACATGGCGTCGGTTGCGATCGTTCCACGCAAAAGCACTATCCTTGACTGTGAATTTTTGTTGTGTGCCGCTATGATAACCCAGCACGTACTAGAAGGGGAGATCCACCTACTCGTGCGGCAATGTCGTGGCGGCACTCTCAAGACGGCAGAAACGCCCGTGTCGTTGTGTTTGTTTACTTCGACTACAGTGGTGCTTTCTAAGCATTTGTGTTTTTGAACATCGCCCGGATTTCTTATCTGGAGCATTTCACGCCTGTGCTAAAGTTGAAGGTATTACTGGCGCGTACCGTATAAAGGATGCTAATTTTCACGCGTCTTCATCACCGGAAAAAGTGATTAGGGTTAGCAATTCTAACGCTTGCAACGTCCGTCCGCAACCAGCGACGCCGTTAAAAGGCTGCGCCAGGCAAAAGTCGCTCATTTCTTTCAAAATTGACACACTTAAAAGAGAAGTGTACAAGTCTGGTGAAATAAAGACTCCTCTTCGACTAACATAAAATAAATTTTTTTTTTTTAAGGTAAGTTGTCTCATGGCATGTATTTTGGCCTGAAAAATTGATGTTTTCGTTATAACGCGGTACCGCTTATAGTGCAGATTTTCGCGACTCCCGCGTTTTACGTTATATGCGGTCTACACTGTATTCCCAGGTCTTGACTAATAGCCCTAATGTAGAGCTGTGGTTGTATGTGTAAACAGGCCTTACATAATATCTTTTTATCACTATTACCTTGAAGGTTTCACAACTGCGGTGATGCGATTGGCCTAACCCGTTTTGGAGCACCTTTCGGAGCAGCCAAAACAGTGTTTTGGAGCAGCAAAAGTGGCCTTTGCAGCAGCCAAGACAGTGTTTTGGAGCAGCAAAAGTGGCTTTTGGAGCAGCCAAAACAGTGTTTTGGAGCAGCAGA